TGTTTTTCAACATTTTTTTAAAAACTTCCAGTGTTAGAGGCAAGTTGTTCCACTGATTAATTGTTCTAACTGTCAGGAAATTTCTCCTCAATTCTAAGTTGCTTCTCTCCTTGATTAGTTTTTACCCATTGCTTCTTGTTCTACTCTCAGGTGCCTTGGAAAATAATTTGACTCCCTCTTCTTTGTGGCAACCCCTGAGATATTGGAACACTGCTATCATGTCTCCCTTAGTCTACTTTCTATTATCAATATCCAACCACCCATCCTCGGGGGCACAAAAAATTGCATGCTAAATTTATATGGAAATATCCTACTCCTGGTCCCAATTCATAGTTTAGTAATTAGGATTAGGATCTTTTTAGCAAATGAATTCTTTTATCAAAATGGTCTCCTAAGGATCACTCCTGTGATCTTTACATTATGTTGTTTAAGACATAATTATTTAACTGGACATTTACTGAGTAAATCTGCTCTAGAACCAGATTGCTTTTATATTCTTTCATTCCCACTATTTTATTATATAGAACTTTAATATAAACAAACAACATTTGAACTTGTTTTGTATGAATTCATTTGGGAAAAAGGAATATAAGAATAAATTCAGTAAGACAGCAACATATGAGCTTCTGAATGAAAGCAAACCGAAATCTTATTGTATTAAACAATTACATAACAACAGTCACCTGGTTCAAATCTTTATTCAATATTTTTTTAACAGTTATCTACTTAAAAAAAACAACCTCCCATAGTATCAAGTATGCTCAAGTAAAGTGTCTATTGCAAAATAATTCCCAAAGCTTAATTTTTATTACTTTTGTTAGTAATCCATATACAAAAAAATCTAGGTAAGATTTTTGAAGTTCATAATGAATGCTAAAATTGATGCTGTGTTTGTTTAAAACCAAATAAAGCTTAATGCTGTGATTTCAACAGCTACTAAGCATTGAAACAAAATCAAATTACTGTTAAAAATACTTTCAATGGGCCACCTTTCTTGTGCCATACTTAGTATGTCTATCTTTTAAACAAAATTTCACAAAAGCTATTTCCAACAGAAACTGTTAATCATAGGTTTGTTAAATGCAAGTAAACAAATTAGATAATTCTACATCAACTCTTTTCTCTTATTTGTATAGGAGCAAAGAGTATTAAAGAGGGCTAATTCAACACATTTATTATGCTATAACAGTATTTCAAGTGATCAAATCTCTCCTTGGGAAGGAGAGATTGGAGAAGTCTTGCAGCGTAACTTTGAGAACTATCAGTCAAAGTTGCTCAGATCCTTCTCGGTTTGGTATTAGATGGGCAGGTTTTATATCTGAGATATATTCTTGACAATTTATCTGGGAAGAGATTCAACCAGTTAGCCCCGAGGAAGTAGACAGGGTCCTTGGAGCTAAGCTCTATCTCCTGTTGTTAAAATTCTTGTCCTTCATGTCCCTCAAGGTTCATCAAGACCACAGAACAATAGTATGTAGTTGTATTCTTGTTTAGTGAATGTTTCTTTGATAGAGGCAGATTCTTCCTGCTTTTGAGGCAATGGTTCATTAGCTTGTTAAAAAACTTTCAATTGAATTGTATTGGACAATTTTTGTCCAATTTCTAAGCTTCTTTTAGGAAGATTTGGGGAGAAGGTAATATATTATGGGCACTCTAGAGGAAGTGAACCTGGACCATTTTCAATCAGGATTCAGGCCAGGTTATAATTTCAAGAAGATATTGGCTGTACTTGTGGATGACCTCAAGAAGGCTTGAGATGGATTAATTTGTGGGGTGCTTTAAGATCCCGTCTGTTCCTATTTAAAATCTACATAAAACCCCTGGATGACGTTATCCCTCAGAGGAAAAACTATCAATATGATGGTAATCCTCAGCTTTATATTCATTTTTGTCACAAGTGACATTGTTAAGTTTCTTACATAGTAGTTTGAGGCTTTGAGTGTGCAGTGGGAGGGATCAAGTTAACCTTAGTTCATTCAAGTTCAACCAGAGTTAAAACAAAACCTTGGTGCACCCTGGTCTAGTGACTCTTCATCTTTAATACTTGATATGTAACATTCCCCAAGAATTGGTGTGTAACCTGTGAGTCCTTCTGGACACCCAGCTCTTCCTGCAATGGTGTTGTATACATTTGTTTTGTACATATATTGCAGTGGTGGGATACGACCGGTACGCCCCGGTACGGGCGTACTGGTGCCTGCTGGGAGCACCAGGTACCATTCCGGTACAGTGTTCTGGAGGGCCCACCCACCTGCCCACCCTCTTTATCTGTACCTGAGCCGGTCGGGTCTTATGCGCACGGAGCGTATGGTGCCTGTGCGAGGTTCTACCGAGCAGCTAGAGCATCGCAGGCAGTAAGTACGCATGCGCCTGCATGCTGCGTGCATGCATGTGGTGGATGCCTGGCCCTGTTGCACCGTACCGGTTGCACCGGGATCCGGAACCCACCACTGATATATTTCACCCTTTACTAGACTGGAGGCTCTGCTCACTGTCATTCACACATTAATTACTTCACGGTTGAATACTGAAATTCATTTTACCATAGGGTTGTTCTTGAAGAGCACTCAGAAGCTTCAACTAGTGTAGAATGCAGTAATACATGGACACTTGGAAGCTGCAAAATTTGCCAGTAAAAGCACCAATGTGTGATCTGCATTTGCTTCCAGTACGCTTTTGGGTATAATTCAATTTCCTGATTATTATCTTTAAAGGCCTATTTGGCACAGCCAGGTTGCTTGTGGGACTGTCCATCTCTGAGGGTTTATACTCATTTCACCAGATGCTACAGGGTCAGTAAATCTGAGGTTTCTCCCCCCTCATACTATATTATTTAAATTGATTCTGGGTTGTTATATTGCTTTTATATATACTGTTCACCACTAGAATTATGTACTTAAATATAAATAAATACATGTTCTGCAATGCTTTTATAAATAATTTTTTCCAGCATTGCAGTATATTTTAAAGCAAAGTAACCATTAATTTCCTGGTTTCATATTCTCAGTTAATACAGTATCAATTTAAAATAGTCAATTATAAATTATTCATTCATTTTACCTCAGCTCCATCAACCTTTGGATGTTTAGCTTGGACTTTCTTTTCCTTGGATGTGTCAGACTCTGATTCTGATTGACTGCCAGACTCTGAACCAGAATCTGAATCACTGCTTCCCGACTGGCTGCTACTTCCATTGCTACTGCTTCCAGAACTTGAACCAGATCCAGATCCAGATGCTGACCCAGAATCATCATCTGATTGGCTGCAATTGTAAGTTTAGAATTAGGAAAGCTAGGAAAAGGCAATAAACAAATGTTCATTTGTAATTTTAAAACTTCTCAAATAGAGTTAAAGCAGACCATATAGATCTTAAGTGGGTTACATCTTAGACTGGGACTTCCACAAAATCTATGTCAATGTATTCAAACATTCCACTCAATTAAAATAATAAATTAAGTGTTTGAATAGTTGTTCTTAGAAAATGGAGAAAACACAACACTGAATGATATCAGGCATCATGTTGCTAAGCAACTGAGCACTTCATTCTGAACTTAGTAATATTAATAGCAGCAAAGGGAACACTGCCTTAATTTTTCCTCCCATAATCTGGTTACCATGCTACTCATGAAATAATTCTCTTCCTCTACAATTAGCATGGAAGCACAGTGATCCTCTGCCAGACTTCATTTGAAGCTTGTTTTTATGGTAATAATTGGGAGGTTAAAGTACTTTTGCAAGCCAGTAATTTGGGGAAGCTTATTTATAGGTTGCTTTATTTTTCAGTTTCTTATATGCAGCTTTGTAACACAAACATAAATAAAAGCAACTGACTGACTGGCTGTACTGATTTGTGCCAAGTTTGATCAAATCTGTCCCAAGAAATTTTCACAACATAGCAACTAAAACATTATTTTGCAAAAATGCACTATCATCTTTCCAATATAAAGCAGACATATTCAGAATGTTCAACAGAATGTATGCTCATATATAAGGGAGATTTTTCTGTCCATCCATCCCCATGAAAAAAATAGTAAAGCAGAAATAAGCAACATGATGCTCAATGGCAGCACACTATGTCCCTAAGCACTTTTATTGATGCTAATCATTCTCCTTATCTTATTAAACTTACAAAAAATAAACATTAAACATGATGTTAGAATGTTATAAAATAAAGTATTAGCATCTAATTTCAATATTCATTTGCATGAATGTGTTTGGCTCTCATACCCTCATACTGGTATAATAGAGAAGAACCCAAAGAGTCATAATAGAAGAGAAAGAACTGGAAAAAATAGCAAAGTACAAAAAAGTTGCAAATAGAAATAGAATTATTATGACAAAAGAAAGCAAAGATAATACCAATAGTAATAAACTGCCTTGGGTGCAAAAAACTGGAGCATCACTTGAACACCATCAGCACTGACAAAAGCACCATCAATCAAGACAGCTTTACTTGGAACAGCTTACATTCTGTGATGATACATATTAGATTTTAAGCTTGCATTCAAACCAGAAATATAGGAAAGTCAAAACTTACAGATGCCTAAATTAAGAAAAAGCCTTTCCTCTTACTTCCACCTGCAGAAGGTTCTGATGAGGTTATTTCAGAGATATAAATATTAGAGGCTTCTTTAGCCAGACGAATGGCAGAAACTGAGTTCTGATTACAAACTGATGCTCTTTTGATCAGAATTTTGCTAAAGACCTTCCTTAACACTCTTTAAGCTATATTATGCATTCACCCATTTTTTTTTATTTGTGTAAAATGAACAATAATGGAATTCTTCCCAACATCAGGCAGATGTAGCCTTCACACTTTGAACCTGCTGCAAAATGCTGTCAGAAATTATGTTTCAATATTTCTTTAGTTACACTACGTCAACCTGGTTTACCTCTTTTCAATATTCTCACTGATTTTATAACTTTATTTTCAACCATTTCTCCTGGATATCACCAATAATCACATTTGTATCAATTCCAGTGTTGAGTACAATATATCACTATAATTCCTATACAAATCTTTCAAATACTCCTTCCAGCATTTCTTGCTGAAATTTAATTCTAAATCATTTTATCCCATTTAATTCCATTCTCACAAATGAAAATTTCTCTAGCTCTCTTCTCTGATTTCCACCTCCAAAATTATTTCTATCCCATTTTCTCTATATATTTTCATTTAATCATTCCCTCTTTGACTAAAAATCAACCTCAATATGTGACTGTAATGCAGCCTGTCCATTATAGTCATGAATCAGTTTGGTCATGTGACCAACCCATTTTAGGACTTCTGCAGCAGTAGTTAAGCAACCCCATTGTTCGGCATGGCATGTTTTTACTAGAAGTAATGTCCACCTTTCAGCAAAATCATTGTAATACAAAATCACATGAACACCTGAAGTGCAATTTAGGTTAGGTTTAGGTTTATTGGATTTATATGCCGCCCTTCTCCCAAGGACTCAGGGCGGCGTACAACATAAAACACATATTACAAAAATTAAAAGGGACATTAAATAAAGTATCCAAAAAAACCCTCTCCAATTGATATTTACAATAAAAATTTAAAAATTAAATTAAAATTAACAACCAAATTAATCCTATACATTATTCTATTCAGGCCAGGCCGGCTTGCTGGAAAAGCCAACTTTTTAGTGCAGTCACATGACTAGCGGACAACCTGAATCATAACTCCCTTTTTCCAGGTAGGTTGTAACTCTGAAGCATCACTTAAGTTGAGGACTACTTACCTATACACACACAAATTTCTTTTGTCATTTTTCCATCAATCATTTTTTTTCTTCATCTACAATTTATTTCATTCCATCATTTCTCAAGCATCCTTTTTATTTTTATTTAACATAACACCAAAGGAATCTGTAAATTCCTTTATAAGATAATTATTTCATTGTGCTCCAAATATTTTCTTCCTCTTCATTCTATATACTGATTTCATCTTAATTATGTTGGAAAATGGGATGTTTTCAAAAGTACTCTCTCTAGCATACGGGTGTCAAACTCACTGTGTCACATTGCCGTGACATGACATTTCACAAAATTTTATACATTCGAGAATGGTAGCTGGGGTGGATGTGTCTGCACATGACCATCTGGCCCACAGACCGCCAGCTTGACACCCCTACTCTAGCAGGTAAGACATAATAGACAGATGGGAAATCACAGATGCCATAAGCAATGCCTTCATTCAATTTCCTGCCAACTTTCTGCCTTTTCTGTTTAAACCAGCAAAGCAACTGAGACAAATCAATTAAACAGTCAGACTTAATAGATATACAAATATATTAACAGATATACAGACTAAGATGTACTGACTAACTTCAGAAATTTGTCATAATCTAGAGTTAAAATTCTGATACAATAAAATTCTATTTTGAACACATAATTGGGGGAAGAAGTTTCAATTATTCACAAATGCTTGCAAATTTAGAAAACTGATCCCCAGTAGTAATTTCTATTATTATAGTTATATTATACTAATAATATAAAATGTCTATCATTTGTGTAACATTATTATACAAATGAAATCAATCAGCCTAAAAACTGATCTATTCTATACGAAGTGCATTGTATCATGGCTAAATCAAAGATTTATTGTACTTTCAACAAACAGGACCTATTCAGAATTCTATAGCACATACAGTCATGTTTATGAATTACCTTGTCATATGCATAGCTGCAAATTACCATATTTTTAGGAGTATAAGACACACCTTTTTCCCTCAAAAAAGAGGTTGAAAATCTGGGTGCGTCTTATACACTGAATACAGCATTTTTGCCCCGCTGAAACCCTGCCCCCTTTGAAAAAATGGCTGTGCATAGCCTTTAGGAGGCTTCTAGAGCGCTCCTGAGGGCTGGGAAGGGCAAAAATGAGCGAAAAAAGGGCCATTTTGTGCCCCCGGCAGCCCCCAGGAGCACTCTACAAGCCTCCTAAAGGCTATGCATGCCCTTTTTTGACAAATAAAGGGCCCATTTTCACAAAAAACATGCCATTTTCTGGCAGAGTGCAAAAACTTTTTTTTAATTTGCCTCTTCAAATCTTGCTGCATCTTATACTCCGGTGCATCTTATACTCAAAAAAATATGGTATATCCTTTAACTCGTCAGCCCCCAACCTTTCTGGCTCAGTGGACTACCTATTGTGGCCTTGGAGATAGAGAGGGGATGGTTTCGGGCACATGTGTACCTCTTGCACAAATGTAACTTTGCGTGCGTACTCGCAAAATTTTAAGACCATCTATATTCTTTATAGCCTCAACTCTATTTAAGCAAATTTATTGTCCCCACCTCCTAAGAATTCACATTGATAATTAAGTGATTTCCAGTAACACATCTGAAAGCTCTTAATTGTTATAGGTGATCAATCTGCTGTCACATCTCATGATATATGGCCCTTAAAGCTTCAGAAGAGCAAGACTAAGAAGGGGGAAGGAACCTAGACAACATTCACACGCTCCCTACCACAATTATGACATAGGTATGTATGTCTGAACAGCGAAGAATCAAATCACAATTGCTCTTGGAAGTGTTTCAAATAAAAATCATGTATTTTTACTGTCAAATTCTTAAAAACAACACATAACATAAATTTTGATTCAGTTAATTTTTTACTGCAAGATACATAGCTAATAGCCGCAAAATGTATGAATGACTGAAATGACCAATAAGTAACTTATGCAAACAACATCATCTCCAATTGTATGATATTCTAATACAGTAGTACCTTGGTACTCAACTCCTTTGAAACTTATCAAATTTGGTACTCAATGCATTTTTGTTGTGAAAACTTTGTCCCATACTCAGATTGTTTGGTACACAATGCACAAGCTTGTTGGTGTCAGCTGTCTTGTGACTGTCTTGGCAACATTACTCCTTATGAGAAAACTGGTACTCATCGAGCCATGAGTACCAAGGTACGACTATACTTTATATTCTATACAAATAACTGGACAACCAATACAAAGATGGAACTGCTTATGTCTAGCTTTTAAGATTCCTGCTCAAAGTAATCCATATCACTGGCTAGTGCAAAGGTCAGTAAAATTATGTGAGACATCTAGTACAATAAATCTTATGCATTTTATTGAGTAATAAATCTAACAGCTGGGTTCATACAGTACAATGTACTAAGTCTAGAATTCTTTAATCATTGGTTGTTGAATAAATTACAAATGATTGTGTTCACAGATTCACCTAGCTTTTAATCACACTTGAAATCTATAGTTTAATATGTTAGGTTAAAACCAAAACATGTTTGTTTTCTGATAATATGTAAACACACGAGTTAAAACTGGATTTATCTGTAGACCAGAAGGCATAAAACAATCGCTTAAATTTGACTTTTGCTCAAGACCCAATAATCTACTTATATAAATTGTTCCTAATTTATTACATAACATTTCATATTTATAATTGTACGTATGCAAGTATATTAATAAAGATATCTCTTAATGTTCATTCTCATTTTCTCTTGCATATATTTTTGAAAAGATACAGTAAAAAAAGTCCAACTACCTAAAATAGACTCTTATTTGTGAACTTACTATCTGTTTAACAAGTCTAAAATATAGGATGGTTCAGATTTTTTATCTAGTGTCCAGAATCATGGTCATAACTGAAAGTTTTCTTAGCATTCAACTATTTCTTGCTCCTTGTATATTTGAGTGAAATACAATTTGTTCCCATTCTTAATCAGGATTATAACATATACACTACTGAAATGTTACTGAAACAGAACACACTGTCAGAAACACATGACATAGATACAGTTTTATATAGCAGGACCCAAAATGTCTCCCATATTTATTACTTTGTCTTGCACAACCAGATGTATAATTTTGCATATACTGTGCTTGGACAAACAGTCTATCTGGAGTATGTATACAGGGAATGTAAAGACAGTCTTATTAGTACTTTCAAATAGTTTTACCAGCATTAAGCTATACATAAAGCTTTAAATCTCAAAACAACTATGTAGATTTTCAAAGCTTAGTTATACAAAAATATTAAGATTATATCAAACTAAATCCCAGTGCGTACCTTGATTCTCCGCTAGTGTTCCTTGTGCTTTCTTCATCACTGTGTCCATTCATTGTAAATATTCACCAAAATAAAAATATAAATAAAAGTTATCCCAGCCTGTAACCAGGATATAAATTGTTTTTAGAAGGCTCTCTTCTTTGTGCTTCAGATATTTCACTGTGTTCAGCAGTTCATGATTCTTGCATAAGTTACCTTTAAAAAATAAAGAACTATTTTAAATGTTTATATAATTAACTTTGTAGATATTGTAGTAGCATTATCTATTTATTTAACAAACTGAACATACACTCCTTCCTATTCTGTAAGTCCTATGACATTAATTATGTAAAAAGACCAAACTGGTTTGATGGTTTCAACAATTTTCAGAAATAGGATTTTAATCCATCAATTAGTTAATTCACATAACCCAATCCCAATCTGACAATAGAGTCACGTTCATATAACAGAATTCTATTTTGCTCATCACAATTCGCTGTGTTCCCACAATATTATGAACATAGGTTGAGTTTATACAAAATACACTGTCTTACAATTACAAGCTGTATTTAAAAAAAATAAGTACCTCAATATTTTTTTTAAAAAACCCACAAAAGTATCATCAATACTGTGCAGAGATAAAGTATCTTTTGATAATCTAATTCTATAGCACTTCTGTTGTACCTGAAAATTAGATTTGATTCAAGTAACTATGGCACAGGAAAAAGAACATTATTTTTTCCTTCACCAGTTTCTACAAAAACTATATACATATGTATCTAAAATACTATACAGGCAGATTTAGTGACTGTTCAAAGTTTCAATGGCACTGAAAAAAGTGACATGGCCATTTTTCACACTTACAGCCATACAGCCCATGGTCATGTGATTAAAATTCAGACACTTAGCAACTAGTTCATATTTATGAGAAGTGCAGTGTCCCGGAGGTATGTGATCACCTTTTGCGACCTTTTGACAAACAAAGCCAAAGGGTAATCCAGATTTACTTAACTTTATCAACTAAACAATTGCAGTGATTGGCTTAAAACTGGCAAGAAAAGTCATAAAATGAGGCCAAATTCACTTAACAACCATTTTACTTAACAAAATAAATTTTGGCTCTATTGTGGTCTTAAGTTAACGACTACCTGTAGTCCAAAATAAATTTACCACTATATACATGCTGGTATGTCACAACATGACAAAAATTACATACATAAATTGTATTGTGCTCCCTCTCTCTCTCTCTCTCTCTCTTTTACACACACACACAGACACTGTGGTGTGTGTATGAGAGTTCACAATACAATTATATGTATATATATTAATGTATGTATTCATTTATTTGATAAATTGACACTTGAATATAGAATAGAGAGGGGGGGTGTCACATCTTTTTAACTCACTCATACATGAGATGAAGACAGTTTTAGGATAATAAAAAACGTGTTTTTGTTTGTGTGTGTGTGTATGTGTGTAAGGCCCGTTTTAATTAAAAGTTCCAAAGCTCCAGCGCAACCACAGCGAGAGAAAGTCGCTATATCGTTGGAACGGACGCAAACTAAGACTAGAGCCCCAAACCCATTATCGGCACGCATCCGTCCAGCTGCGTTTTGTGCGGGGCTCTCTCCCCTTCTCCCGCGCTCTCCTCTTTTTAGGAAACCTAGGCAAAGGCGGGGCCACCGTTTAGAGCAGTAGGAAGGCAGCGCATAGACACCCTCACCGCCAGCCTGTCAGCCAATGAGGAGCGGGCCTCGTGGATTTAGTGGGTGCCAAAACAAATGGGCTTTCCCCCCTCCCTCCGGTTTCCCCGGAGCGTCGTGGGTGTCTCTCACGACTTCGCACACGGCGCCTTCTTTTTACTACCTTCTCTTTTTACTATAACCATCACCAGGTTCCCCCCCCCCTTCCTCTCTCAAAGCTGTCCGCGGCCCGCCCGCCCGCCATTCCCTGACCCGCTTGCGAAAGCCTCTTTTGACTTTCTCACAACCGCCTCTCTCCGCAGCCGCGGAGTAAACAAAGGGAGATGGCGGGGGAAGATGAAAAAAGCCGGACTCAAGGCCAGGGCAAGCAGCGTGGTCGCTCCGTCCAAGACGCTGTGGGTGGGTGGGAGGGAGGGACAAAGCGAGAGCCGCGGTGTTGCATCTAGCAGGGGGCTAATAAAAGTGACAATTTTCTGTCCAGAGCTGGCCCCCTGCAGGCGCCTCCCCGAATGCTCACCTGAAGGCCGGCCTTCTCCCGAAAGCACCATTGGGCCCAGTCCCTCCTCTCTCTCTCGTCCATTCCAGGCCGAAGGCCGCAAATCGGCTCCCAACTCACTCAGGCCGGAGCCTTATTGCCGCCCTCCCTGGTACTTTTTCCTCCTCTCGCATTTCCCTTTCCCAACCTCCAGGCGCCCAGTCGAGTAAGTCGGCCTGCGATCTTCCCTTCCTACCGGTCAGCCCAAGGCTGCGCAGTCTCCTGCGTGTTCCTTCAGTGGGCCGCTCTTACCTGAGCGTCGCCAGGCCTGCCTGGGCCTGTCTGGAAGAACAGCGTGGCGAAGAAGCGGCGGAGAGCGCTGCAGCCGGGCCCTTTAAAAAAAAGGGCTGAGGCGGCGGAGAAAGAGGCGCTCCCGGGCCGGCCTGGATCTCCTCACCCTCTCCTTGCCTCTTCCCGGCCCTTTCGCTTGGTTTGCCCCCAAAAGAAGGGGGAGGCAGCGCGACTCCTTCCAAAAGAGGCGGGGGGAGGAGAGGAAGGAATGGGTTAAAAAAAATGCCTGAGGTAAGCAGGCGTGCGTCGCCGTTGCTTTAAGTCCTCCCGGTCCCAGCCGCCATCACGCTGCCGCCGTAGCAGTTCAGCGCAGCCTCCTCCCCCTCCCTCATCCGATGGAAACCCCGGGCGTGATGTCAGCCGTGGGACAGAGCGGGAAGCGGAGGGAGGAGCCACCGCGGAAAGGAAGCTGGCGGAGAGGCTCGCGCGCGACGGGCTAGGAATCTGAGGGCGCGCGGGGGAAGAGGCATGCGGGAGGGCGGGGGGAAGGGATGAGCGCGCGCGCTTGGAGAGTTTTCCCTTTCGGTCTCCACCAAAAAAGGTTCGGGATCTCACGTGAGGGATTGCGGATGGGATGGTTACTTCCCCAATTCGGGCCGCTCCTAACTGGGTTCAAGTTTCGATCCGGTCTGAATCCCGTGTTGGTAAAAAAAATTATCTCCCTTCTTCCGGGTACGCAGATCTTTAGTCGAAGTATTATTCCATTGAATCTGATGGGATCGCTTGATGCATAAGAGGATTTGGTAAACGTACGAGCCGTGTCCGCGGGGACAACGGACTACTTTGCCTTCCTATACAATTAAGATTAATTAAAATGCTTCTTTCCCCCGGTGTACGTTTGTGACATCCACATCACATACGTGCATATTGGATTGGGAGGGGAGGGGGCAGGGATCAAATTTATGCGTTGATGCTGACCAATAAATAAAAAATCCCGTTTTCACTTTTTTAGCTGGAAATCTATATATAGTAATTGTCACAGTTCGAAAATTCATCCTTTAAAAAACCTGGTTGTCAAGAAGCTGAGTAATACTGTAGGTTATATTAGGTAACAAGAGTGGTGGCTATTTCATGGAAACTTTGCTTTATACTTATGAAATATTGGGAAAGGTTGCTCTAGGATGAGAATGTACATTGTAATTCCGGGTCTGGGGGGAAAAAAAATTACACCCACATTAATACACCCAGCAGGAATTTCTGATTCACAAATTAAATTTGAAACTATTTCCTGGTTTCCTTATTTAGTTCTTTAACGTACTTAATCTTCCCAAAAAAATAAAATCACCTAAGTATGTTAACAGTTTCTTTTGTTTAATCAAAATAGGGGGGGAAATGAAAGTCTCATGTCTATTCCAATATCTTCCATTTCTTCTGACCATTTTTGACTGTACAGTAATTCTACATTCACTCACCATATTCAATCTGCCTGTTTAAAAGCATGCAGTTATTAATAGTTTATAGTAGTTTCACTTATTTCCAATTTATTGGAGCAATGCAATTTCTGAAGCATTCTGAACCCTATAAGAATTTTGCCATAAATAATGCTCAACTTTCCTATATATATATTTCCTTAGAATTACTCCAAAGGATTTAGATTTCAAGAATATTTAAAAACAAAACTGCATATTCTGTTTTTATTTGTATATTAATCCTTTAGGAGCTTATTACTATTGTAAATGAGATAGGTTTGCTAGACCCACAAGGAATTACATTCTTTTAGGAAAATAATTATAAGGTCCCAGGTGCAAATTATGTTTTTCTAATTAAAAATGAAGCAGCAAAAGTGACAACTTTGCTTGATAGACTACATAAAAATATATCTCCATTTATTGTTGTAGGAAAAATAAGTACTGCGTGCCAAAAGGCTGCATAAAAGTACTTTTGTAGCCAAAAGGGTGTGTATTATAATGTTCCTTCCAAGAATTGATTATTTAAAGGTTGAGTTAAAGCAGCTATGAAACTTTCAGTAAAAGTGGAGGTATATCTAAAGAATTATTGCTGGCATTTATACAGTATGCTATGCTAAGCTAGTTTATAACAATTGTTTAATTTTGTTCAAGAGTGTTTGAACAAATTTGTGATTAATTATGATTAATCATAATGGAATGATGAAAATGAAGCCGCAGCCAAAGGACTAGTAGTTGTAATGATGAGTAGCTTCATTAGATTAACATTAGGTAACATTAAGAATAGTTGGTAACAGAAATCTCTCAAAGCAATAATACTTTTTATGTCTCGTGCAGGGACTAGCTTAGCAGGACCAGTTCAGAATTCTATAGCTTCAATAATAGGCATTGTGGAAGAACCATATGATGATCAAATAAATAGAAAGTCTAGTGTCACTTTTCATGATGAATAGATTTTATAAGGCATAAGCTTTCATGAGATGTAGCTCACTTTGTTTGATGCATCTGATGAAGTGAGCAGCGACTGCCCAAAACCTTTATACTAAAATGCCAAGTTTCAACGAAAGATAGCTTGAGAAGGGGATACATTTCCCTCTTTGTAATGGTCAGAAGTTAATGAATTTTGATTTTATGGCATCATGCCATCCCCTAGGACAGTGATGGTGAACCTTTTTTGGCTCATGTGCCAAAAGCGGGGGAAGCGCAGCGGGGTCATGCGTGGGCATGCCACACCGATAATGCTATGTGCACGACCCCAGCGCACATGCATGCATGACCAGCATTCCCATTTTGGCATGCTTTTTTCTCCTTTCCCAGGCTCCAGAGGCTTTATAGGAGCATGGGGAGAGCAAAAACAGCCTCCCTGCCGTCCAGAGACCCTCTAGAGTCTTCAGGAGCTTCCCTGAAGCCTCTGGAGTGTGAAAAACTGGCCCTATGGGCAAACTGAAAGTTCGGAAATGGACTTCCTGTTTGCTCATAGGGCCAGTTTTAGCCCTCCGGAGCCCTCAGGGGCATTCAGGAGGCTTCCCTGAAGGCTGTGGAGGGCAAACAATGATCCTACAAGCTCTTCCGGTTTGTCCCTAGGGCCATTTTTTGTCCTCCTGAGCCTTCAGGGATTTTCAGGAGGTTTGCCCATAGGACCGTTTTTTTACGCTCTGGAGGTTTCAGGGAAGCCTCCGGAGGGCGAAAAATGGCCTCAAAAGAAGACTGAAGTCCACTGCCCAGTGTGCGCATGCACACTGGCCAGCTGATGGCAATGCCTTGCGTGCCCTGACAAATGGCTCCATGTGCCACCTGTGGCATGCATGCCATAGGCTCGCCATCACGGCCCTAGGAGAACCACTAAAATAATCCATCCTTAGACAACTATGGAAGGTCACGAAATCTTGAATGCTTAAATGGAATTTTGTTAAGGCTTTTTTGACATATGGAACACAAAAACAGAATGGAATACTGGCTCAATTGCTCCTGAGTGCCCTCTGTGAGACTCTGGCTATTCCCTGGTTTTCTAAAGAGTTCCATGCAATGAAACACTAAAAGACAGCAAAAGCACAAATAGTGCAAGACTTGCCAATATAGTCTGGACTGTATTGTACTTGATGAGTGTCAGTGAAATCTCAAAAAAGGCCTTTTTTACTTTATTTTATGTGGGAGACTGAGCATCCTAGATCAAGCTAAGTCTGAAAACACTAGAGAATTCCTAGAATCCTGGTACTCTGACAAATCAGGCATCAATAGTCACATAGAGATAGACATCTGCATACCATTCAAGAGAGACAGTCAAAAAGTGAAGAAACCACAACATTTCGCTATCAATCATCCAGATAAGTAGAGATTAACACTAAGCAGTAAATAATACCCAGTCAAGGAGCAACCAGCTCCCTAAATAACATCCTAATCAAGAAACCACCAAGAATACCTGCACCAATTCAGATAGGACAGGCCACTTGTCTGTAAACAGAGAGCAAATCACTTCTTATAATACTGATGATGCTACAGAGTTAATGAAATAGGTAAATGAAACATCTGCAAGAAAACCAAGCTCAGAGAGCACCAAGGACCCTCCCGTCCCAAGGCTTACTTTGTTGTTCTCAAATAATACTCCAGCAGAGTGGTTTAGGATAGGAAAAGACTTACAGGTAGTCCTCACTTAGTGACTAGAATTGGGACTGGCAACTCTTGCCACTAAACAAAATGATTACTAAGTGAAACCATGCATTATAACAAACTTAGATGTAACTTCCATTGCATTTAAGAGAGTCATTGGGGGCTATGAAATGAGACATCATGTGATCACAAGTTGAAATTTTACTGCTGACTTTTCCATTGACTCAGCTTGTAAGACTCAGATTGTTATAAGACTCATTGGCTGTGAAGAGCACAAATGGCAATTGGTCATAAACATCTGCTAGTTGTGAAGTGCCTAAATGTCAATCACTTGACTACAGGATGCTAAATGGTCATAAATGTGAGGAGTGGTTATAAAATTACTTTCTTAGCACCGTCATAACTTTGAATACTTGCTAAGCATGGCAATCATTAAGCAAGGTCTATGTGTACTGCTGTCTGCCCTAAAAAAACCCAATATCCATGTCATTTGGGAATAAAAATGATTGAACCAACGAGCAATGCTTTTGATACAGTATCTAATTGAACTGAATAGAATGACTCTTAGTTTGTACCTGTCTGATCAACTACTTTGAGCTAATTGAACGTGGTTAACTAGGGCTAGGGAATGATGTATGCATTTTAACTATAAAGTTGTAGTATCACTGATCTTAATGGTTTGCCATTGAGAAGAAGCCTTGGATCCAGAGGATTTTATCAGTCTGTCCTGTATAAAATTGCATCCCCTCAGAAAGAACTCTGTGTAATTTAGGATAATCCTAAAGTCATTGTCAGGAAAAGTGACCCTCTACATGTCACAGTGTTTATTGCCAACTTACAGGATAACAGAATTGGAAGGGAGGTCTTCTAGTCCAACCTTCTGCTCAGGCAGAAAACCCTATATCATTTCAGACAAACAGTTATCAATCTCTTCTTAAAAAAACATTCAGTATTGGAGCACCCACAACCTCTGGAAGCAAGTCGTTCCACTGATTGTTCTAATAGTCAGGAAATGTCTCCTTAGTTGTAGGTTACTTATCTCCTTGATTAGTTTCTATTCATTGCATCTTGTCCTGCCTTCAGGTGCTTTGGAAAATAGGTTGACTCCCTCATCTTTATGGCAACCCCTGAGATATTGGAACACTGCTATTATGTCACCCCTAATCCTTCTTTTCATTGAACTAGACATACCCAATTCCATCAACCATTCTTTATATGTACTTCTGTTGATATCACCATTATATCCTTTCCTAGGCAGAGAAAGCCCAGGTACAGTTGTGCTGGAAACATACTTTAACTTAGATTTAGTTATGCACTTTAGGTAGCTTG